CTAGTCTTTATATCAATCTGCCTTATTCCACCTACTTAAAGTTTTATTGGAAATTAGCACCTATTGACTTTAGCTGAAAGGAGGTCTTTTAATTTAAGTTTTGTATCACTGGTTTTTGCAGGATATCCTTTGTCAAGTGTGAAGATTTTGGGGGTGAATGTAATATTCCCATCATTTACAAAAAAAAAAGTTTAAAAAGGCAAAAGCCATGTGGATTGAATAACTGCATGAAGTAGTAAGGTAAAGACTACACCCCCTGTCATCCTTGTTATCTGAAGTTGTTAACTTCTGCCACAAATTTTTTATTAGGAATTAAGCTATATTAGCATGCTTTTATACTGAATGTAAACATGACACTAAAAAAGCAGCAGTTTGCAACAAAGAGGCACCCATTCTAACTGTGTGAAGATGTAAGATAAAGACTGACTCAACTCACCAGTGTTATCTGAAGAAACAGCCCCCAGATTTTTTTCTTAATTTAAAAAGGTTATGCTCTTTTGCTAACACAGTTTTTAAGCCTGTCAAAGTTTAACATGAAAAAAACAGCACTGATCATTTTGATTGAGATGTAAAGACCTGTTTTGTAGTAAAATAAAAATGTTTAAGATACATTACCCTATCTATTAACATTTTTTAACAAAAGTGGTTCTATTGGGTATAATATAAAATCCTTAACTGAGGGGAATTTACAATAAAATATTATTTAAAATGCAGGGGAAATGTTCACATATGTGTTTCAATAAAAAAATTAGCACGAAGGAATGACTAACTGCAGTAACAAGAGGGATGAGCATGAGACCTATTTGAAGCAGCATGTTTTCACACAGCCTCTCCTGCTTTTTAAAAAACTGTTAACTTTTGCAGTAAAAGAATTTCTAATCACAGGATTAAAATTAGTATGCTTTTACAGCCTAAAGAAATGCCAAGTTTACTTATCCATAATCAACATCTCTATGATACATCTTAAACCAGGGGTTGGCAACGTTTGGCACGCGGCTCGCCAGGGTAAGCACCCTGGCGGGCCGGGCCAGTTTATTTACCTGCTGACGCGGCAGGTTCAGCCGATCGCGGCCCCCATTCGCCGCGGTTCACCGTCCCGGGCCAATGGGGGCGGCGAGAAGCAACGCGGGTGAGCGATGTGCTGGCCACGGCTTCCCACCACCCCCATTGGCCCGGGACGGCGAACCGCGGCCAGTGGGGGTGGCGGGAAGCCGTGGCCAGCACATCGCTCGCCTGCGTCGCTTCTCGCCGCCCCCATTGGCCCGGGACGGCGAACCGCGGCGAGTAGGGGCCGCGATCGGCTGAACCTGCCGCGTCAGCAGGTAAATAAACTGGCCCGGCCCACCAGGGTGCTTACCCTGGCAAGCCGCGTGCCAAACGTTGCCGACCCCTGTCTTAAACAAAGACTTTAGTCTAAAGGACTTGCTTAGAAAGATCAACCCCTGTAAGAATAGTTTACTGGAATATAAATTGTGAAGAAATAGGTATTTGGGAAGCAGCAATATTACCATTAATAACATTTACAATAAAAATAAAATGTATTTAACATGTTTTTTATCTCTTTAAATGGATTTAATATATAAAATAATCATTTAAAGAGTTGTTTTACAATAAAAATTTTAAAAGATTAGGTAACTTAATGAAGGAGAGAAATTATGTAGCAACACGACCCCTCCTTTTTTTCCTAGAAGAAAACTGCATGAAGGAAGTAGATAAAAATTCACCCACTCACCCTTGCTATTAGAAGAAATGTGTGTTGCCCCCACACCCAAAACAACTATCATCAGCAAAAAAACCCAACAGTTTAAGCAGGATTAAAATTAAATAAAATGAGAAGTATTTAAAAGCTACATTAGCATGTTTTAATATTGGATTAAACATAACATGGCTAAAGCACAAAGACAGCTTTTCGTCCTAACCCAGTTAGAGAGTTTTTATAATTTTTTTAACAAATGAATAGCAAAATTCATTTACAAATGTGGGTATTATGTGAGAAAAAAAGCAAAGAATTTTATATGCAGATACCTTCTTTTGCTCAAAAATTATTTTTAACAATGAAATAAAATGAAAATTAACAAAGTTTTATAAAATAAACTTTTTCAAATTAAGTGTAAGGGGGTTACTGAAGAATGGACTTTTAAAAAAAATAATTTTCACATATACCTCTCCTTTTGTTTCCTATTTTCTGAAAAACAGGTTTAGTCCTATAAATAGAGAAACCTGGACATGGTGTTCAAAGAAATAGTGCTGACGTGCTTTTACATAAGACATCTGCCTCCACGGGAAGCAACAAAATGGTAAGGGAAAAGACTATTTTATGTGCGCTACCACGTTTTTATGCATGTGGGGTGTTTAGCGAAAAATAGATATTTATTTTAAATAGGACGATGCCTTTTTTCTTGCAGTATCACAAGCCACACGAGAAGGGTTAACAAATTTTTGTAAGATGTTTAATATTTTACAGAATTATGGTTTATTTTTGAAATGTGTTTTTAAACTTTTTTTATTTTTTAATTTAGATCAAGATGGAAGTCAAATTCAACAAATGATAGTTTTCCGCCGACTACAAATTTGCAACTCTGATTAATAACTGTATTTTAAAATGTTTGCTTGTTTTATTGAAATTAGGTCAAGTCAGTGTACAAATTCAAAACAACAATTTTTCCTCCCTATAATACTAATGGGTTGTACATTTACATTATTGCAGGTTGTACATGATAAAGGATGGTTGTTTTTTGAAATATAGATGTAGGGCAGGGATCGGCAATGTTTGGCACGCGGCCTGCCAGGGTAAGTCACCTGGTGGGCCGGCCCGGTTTGTTTACCTGCCACATCTGCAAGTTTGGCCGATCGTGGCTCCCACTGGCCGCAGTTCGCCGCTCCAGGCCAATGGGGGCGGCGGGAAGCGGCGGCTAGCACATCCCTCGCCCCGCGCTGCTTCCCACAGCCCCCATTGGCCTGGAGTGGCAAACCGTGGCCAGTGGGAGCCGCGTTCGGCCAAACCTGCGGACGCGGCAGGTAAACAAACCGACCCGGCCCGCCAGGGTGCTTACCCTGGTGGGCCGCGTGCCAAACATTGCCGTTCCCTGATGTAGGGGTTAAAAACAGTTGCCATTACTAACAGCAGCTAGTTTGGTTTGCTATAAAGGCTGTGAATTTAGTGTGCTGCTTTCTGTAGTGATAAGAGAAAGTTCCCCCTACCACCACTCCCAACCCCTTTTTTTCTTTTTTTTTTACACTTTGGTTTTCCCTTACTTAAAATGATAGTAAGAAAAAAGAACATGGGTTATTCCATGTTGGAATTTACATTCTTCTTCGAGTGCCTGCTCATGTCGATTCCATTCTAGGTGTGTGAGCACCCACGTGCACGGCTGTCGGATATTTCTGCCTTAGTGGTATCTTTAGGGTCGGCTGCGGCCCCCCCTTGAGTGCCGTGCTCATGCGTCGATATATTAGGCACCACCGACCCTACGCCCTCTCAGTTCTTCCTTACTGCCCGTGATGGTTGGTTGGAGCGCCTTGTCTTGCAATTTGCAAGTCCATAAAGTCGACCATTATTGTCATGATTTGTATCATTCCCTGAGCACGATCTGTGCGCTCAGCACTGTTCAGAATATGCTAGAAAATGTAGACCCTGAGCCAATACATATAAGATGTGTAACTCTGAATAAGATGTCTCAGATATTTAAGTATGAAGTGTATAGTTATTGACCACACATGTTATCACATGTTCACTGTGATGTTTATATCTGTGAGTGTAGGCACTGATGCCAATAGAACTGTTACTTGATTAAGAACTAGAAGATTTGACCCTCCAACTTTCTTTCAAGAGGAAGAGCTGCCCAGAGCTCCTGTGCCTGTTTATTTTCCTTTCCTGCCTGCAGTGGCCCTGATATACCTCAGAAGACTCAATTTTTTCCCCAACTTTAAAACGTGGAATTTTCTTGGTGTTTGACTTAATATATTCTCCTGTGGAAACTGCAACTCAATCACTGTAGTGTTGTGTTTAAGAGCCTTCTGGAAAGTAACTAGCCTTTAAACAGAAGTGAAAGCAGTGTTGCCAACTCGCATGATTTTGTCATGAGTCTCATGATAATTATTGTTTTCCTTAAAGCCCCAGCTCCTGGAGTCAAGTGGTATGTGATGATTTTAGCCTTCATTCTTTCAGAAAAATGAAGTTTCTAACCCTTGTGGCTATGGAGAAAGCTTCAAAATGTGACCCCAGTGCACCTTAAAAGCTCAAAAAGCAGAATGTAAATAAAACCTCCCACCAAATCTATTATTTTTAAATAATCTCATTATTTTAAAGCCAATCTCGTGATTTTTGGTGAGCCTGATTCTTGATTTTTGAACATTTGGGGTTGACAATACTATGGAAGTGATTTGAAAGCATCGGTTTCACTCCTGTTTAAAATCATTCTCTAGTCTATTATTTGTAGTGGGGTAACACCCCTAGAGCCCCAGGCAGGTGCAGTATAAACTCACAGGGCCTTGCCCTAATAGGATGTTTCCAAAAGTTAAATGATTAATTCCAAGCTTGATGAACTGCAAAAAAGTGATAGAAAGTAATCTAGGTTTTTCTACAATGGTTTCAATTGTTGTATTCAAGAGTTAGTAACAAAGTAAGATTATACATTAATGTTTTAAACCTAACCAGGCTTGCGCTCAAGGAAACCAAGCAAAAAGGAGAAGAAACGAGTTGCCTTGCAAGGACTCCTGCTTGCAGCCACAACTCTAGATACAGAAATGAATAAAGCATTCAAGGAACTAAGAGAACTAAGAAAAGAAAAAGTTAATCTAACAGCAGAAACTGATACACTGAGCGCCATTATTCTGACTCAAACACTCCAGATTGTTGAGTCACAGAAGGAACTAAATGAAATAAAAGAAGAGCAAAAGAAGCTAACAGTAGAATTTGAAGAATGGAAACAAAAGGCAATAGATAGAGAAGCTGCAATGAAATTAATCACCTCAGACACAAAAAAAGAGAAAATTAAATCATGAAGCATGCAGAAGGAAGATTTCGTGCACCAAAGGAAGAATTGAAAGCCAATAAAGGAGTTATAGCGGCAATAAAACCCCTAAGTGGTGAAGAGGTGGAATCTGATGAAGAAGATATGGGTCCTCCTCAGGCCTGCCGACTGGGGGGAGGAGGGGAGGGGTAAAGGGGGCAACTGCTCAGGGGCCTGGGCGATGTAAAAGGGCCTGGGGGCCCTCAGACACCGCTACCTTTTAAAATCATCTGGGCAGGCCGCAGGGCTCCTAGACGCGTGCAGGGTGGTACCAGCAGTGGCTAAGGCAGCCACGCGGGCATGTGGAAGCCCTGACCGTGCCAGATGAGCGCACCCAGCAGTGCAGCCGGCAGCAGCTCGCTGGGCACCAGCCAGCGCAGCACCACCCAAATGTCAGGCGGGCCTTTCTAGGGGGCCCATTGACTATTCTGCCGTGGGAAGAGCCGTCCCTAGGGTACGGTGAATCAGGGCGACCATTCTGGGCTGCATGCTTTGGGGGGACCCGCGGGCTGGCACGATTGGCTAGCGCGGTCGGTCCCGGAGGTGACAGGTCGGTCCCAGAAGTGACAGATTCATCACTTCCACCCCGGGCCCCACACCGCCCTAGGGACAGCCCTGGCCCTGGGGCCTGGAATTGCTTTCAGCAAGCCTGATCCTCCTTGTTATGAGGATCCCAAGGAGTCCATTCTGGAATTTTATGACTAACCATGGGAAGAGCCGGAAGAATATCGAAGACCACCTTCCATAGCTCCAATTATTACCTCCTCAGTAACCAAAACTCTGCACAAGGAATCAGGGGTACAGGAGAGAGGAAAGACCCAACAGCCCTGAGCAAATTAAAGCTCTAGGAAAATCCCTGGGTCCTTTGAACAGGAACACAGTGATCGGATGGCTAGCGAAGACAACGGGGATACCTGGATTAACAGGAGGTGATCTCTCTGCATTAATAAAAGAATGCCTAAATTCAGATGAATTTGCTGGACTTTCTTACGACATCCAGGGAAGAGGAGAAGGTGATACTGATATAATAGGATGAGAAATTTTGAAGTTTTTCTTTCCTGGAGAATATCCAGTGGTACGGTTTCATCAGGAGAAGCAAAGACCAAAGGAAAGACCTGAACCGTATAGAAATATAGAAACTAGAAATAAATTATTGTACAAACATGCAGGAATCATCCCATTGGGATATCAGTTGATATATGATTCCTCACAGTTTAAAAGCATTAATGCTAGGCTTTGATCCAATGATCAGAATGGCGATGGTCTCTTACAATCCTGTGCAAACCCCTCTACACATCATAGAAGATAAAGTAAAAAAAAAGTTATGAAATACAAAGAGAGACAATGCCACCTCCAAAGTCATTCCAGAAAGGAAAACCTGAGAAAGTATCAGTAGTAACTTTCTCTAATAATGGTCCTAGAGGACGAGGAAATCAGCAGAACCAGCAAAATAGAGAAGGATTGAAGCAAGAAGAAAATAGGAATAGAAGGTTTGTTCCTTATGAACGAAAAAGAGGTGATCCAGGAAGAAACTGGCTTTGGAAAGAATTTTTACAGTATGAACCTAAAGAACAAATTGATGGGCTTCCCACAGACGAAATGCTTTGATGGCTGGCAAATCATAAAAGGAGCATGCCCACGGCTACATTCCACTCTCCAAATCAAGCATAGGAAGGCTGAGCGCCCCATATCTCCCCAATATTGGCAAAAGAAGATCATGCTAATTTAGTAATACATTTACAAATGGATGACTGGGAGACACCCACTGCATATATGAAGTTTACTAGGGGAGCGTTCGGACAAAATATGTTAATAGACACAGGTGCCACATTTTCTTTAGTTAGCACAAATAATAAGAATTTATTTCGACCTCCTGTAATAGTCAGAAAGCTGCAGGGATTTAATGAAGCAATGAGTAGAGTACCATTTAGTGCTCCAATTCATTTTCAATTAGGGGGAAAACGATAAAGAAGTAGTTTGGTTTGATGAATTTAAATGGGTGTTGATGTATTAGGTAAGCTTGAGGTGACAGTGGATTTGGTAAATAAGGTATTACGGAAATACCTTCTAATAGGACCAGAACAGAAGATCAACCAATTATTATTGAGGCAGGGTATAGGTTAGCTGCTATCAAGGCTGTTGAAGAGATAAAATGGCCTAATTGGCCAGCAGAAGTTTTGGAGATAGCTCAGAAATATAAGGAAGTTTGGACAACCAATAAGGCAGAATGTGGAAAAATAAAAGCAGAAGTCTTCATTACTGGACCAGATCCCCCACCTCAAAGATGATATAAGTATCCTAAGGAAGCAGAACCCAGTTTAATGAGGACTATTCAAGGGCTTTTGGATCAAGGAGTAATAGTAGAGCAACAAAGCACGAATAATGCAGCTGTTTGGCCAGTTTTAAAGGCAGATGGTAAAACTTGGAGATTAACCATTGATCTTAGGCCATTGAATAAGGTAACTCCAGTGATTGCTCCAGTGGTAGCAAAGTATCGTGAAGTGATTGCTTCTGTTATAGGAGGAGCACGATGGTTCACTGTGCTAGATTTAGCCAGTGTATTCTTTGCAATCCCTTTACACCCAGACTCCTGGTACAAGTTTGCTTTTACCTTCCCGTGAAGACAGTTCTGTTTCTGTCGAACCCCACAGGGTTTCCATAACAGCCCTGCTATCTGCCATATGTGCATGAACAAAATGTGGGATAACATGCCTAATAAGGATAACATCATATCGTATGTAGATATTATCCTTTTAAGCACAAAAACTAAGGAAGAAAATTTAGGAATATTAGATTTGGTACTGCAGAAAATAAAGGAAACAGGGTTTAAGGTTAGTCCAGAAAAAGCCCAAATATGCCAACAGCAAGTAAACTACTTAGGAGTAACGTTAGGACAAGAGTGATGATCACCAGATAAACAAAGGATAGAATTATTGCAAAAATTACCAGCCCCTACAGATATATCTACTTGAAGGTCATTTTTGGGTATGACAAATTTCTCAAGAGAATGTATAGAGAATTATGCAGAGAAAGCCAGCCCACTGTATACATTATTTAAAAAGGGTAATAACTGGGAATGGGGATTGGAACAGCAGGTAGCTTTTGCACAGCTTAAAAAAGCATTAGCACAAGCCCCAGCTTTAGCATACCCAAAGTAGGACAACCTTTTGTGCCCCAATTGGCTACTACCAGCATAGTTTCCTGTAAGGTGCGGCCTGCGCATGAAGCAATGAAGGGCTGCGCACCTAATTACTGGAGCCGCGCAGTGTAGCTCCAATAATCAGGTGCCTGCTCCTGCGTCCTAACCCTGCAGACAGAGAACATGGAGGTGAGCTGGTGGGCTTGGTGGGGGAAATATTGGTGGGTGCAGGTGAGTGGGGGGACTAGGGGATGGGTGGGGGTCAGTGGGGTGAGGTGGGGGGGGAGAGGTGAATCAGAGACGAGTCTGACTCTCTCCCAGGCAGCCCCAGCTGGGCTGTGGACTGTGGGCGGCAGCAGAGAGAGATGGGACAGAATCCCTCTCCCAGGCAGCCAGGATAGACAGGAAAGAGTCTCTCTCCCAGGCAGCCCCAAGCTGGGCTGCGGTGTGCAAGCGGCAGCGGGGAAAGATGGGACAAGAGAGTCCCAGGCAGCCCCAGCGGGGCTGCAAACTTTGCAGCTGAGCTGTGGGCAGTGGCTGGGAGAGACAGACAACCACCACAATACCAGTAAGAAAGATTTAACTTAGGGTATGTCTACACTGCCCACATTACAGCGCGGCCGCGGCAGTGCTGTGACATGGGCAGTGTAGTCATGCTTTGTTGCCGGGGGAGAGCTCTCCCGGCGATAAAAAATAACCACCCTCAATGAGCGGTGGTAACTTTATTGCCGGGAGCGCGGCAATAAAGCGCTGTCTATACTGGCACTTTTCAGCGCTAAAACTTTTGTCGCTCAGGGGGGTGTTTTTTCACACCCCTGAACGACTAAAGTTTTAGCGCTGAAAGTGGTAGTGTAGACACAGCCTAAATGTTACTTTTTAAATGTCATATTTGTTTGTCACTATGTTGAAGATTACCCCCTGTGTGCCATTTACAAATATATGCATTTTGCAGGATTTTACCTCTCTCTGCCAATCATCAAATGTATTTAGCCTCATTTTCATTATTCTACCACTGATTGTACCTGAATTTTGTACAGAAGTCAAGTCAAGCCAACTGAATAGTAAAAGTAGAAACAGGATTTGAGATGTGCTTTATATACAACTGCTATTATTTTTTCAAAAAGGAGATCCCCGTAGATAAGTAGTTCTGGCTGGAGAATAAATAATTGTTTTTTTTTTTAAAAATCCAAATAAATCATCTCTCCAAAACTGTCATTAAAAATCATATTTAATAACTATTTCTATAATCACAAAAATGACAATGTATTATTTATGCCTAGCTTTTGCATTGGATGGCATTTCAGAATTGTTTAACTGGTACATAGGTTAATTAATCTAGTTCAGAGGTTCTCAAACTCTGGCCTGCGAGCTCCATTCAGGTGGTCCGCAGATAGATCCCTCTAAGGTGAGAGCCTGGGCGGCCGCTCATGAGAGAATGAAGGGCCATCCACGTAAAAAGCCGAGTGCTGCCGGCCGAGCAAAAAAAAAAAAAACCGGGGGGCGCCCGCCGGGGCCAAATCCATCCTGCCCCGCGACCGGTCGGAACACGGGACAAACAGCTAAAAATCAGGACGGTCCCGATTTTATCGGGATGTCTGGTCACCCTAGGTGGGGGAGATAACCCCCTCCTTCCCAGCCCCAGCTCAGGGGCTGCCACGGCAGGGAAGAGAGGGAGAGACCCCGCTGCTTCCCAACCCAGCTTGGTGGTTGCTGTGGCAGGGAGACTCCCCTCCTTCCCAGCCCCAGCCCCGCCCTTGGGGGCTGCTGCGGTGGGGGAGAGAGGGCACATCCATCGCATTAGAAAGGTAAGACTACTGATATTAAAATATGAGTTGTGTGCTTTTATTTGTAGAACAAAAACCTTAATTATTATTAAGGTTTTTTTATATAGTGCTTTTATTCAAAGTGCTTTACAATAGTTAGCTAATGGTACAAACAACATTTGGAAAGATCATTAAGTGGTCTGCCGAGACCCTCAGCAATTTTCAAGTGGTCCGTGAAAAAAAAGTTTTGAGAACCATTGATCTAGTTCCTAAACTTAATGCTACCTCCACCAGCTGCTTAAAATGTTTGGATTTAGTTTTGTCTGGGAACATCTATTATACCTTTAAAGTTTGATTTGCAGTATCATTCTTGTATTTTCTAACCTGCCACATCCCAGCCCAGCTCCAGGGCTGGGGTGGCCAGGAGAGATGCCTCCAGATGAGTGATGTCTATTAAGTTGCAGAATTTGTTTGGGGAGAGGTACTGAAAACTATTAAGGCCAGATGTTTGCTATCTGGTATAGTTCTGGCTCTTCAGAGTACTCCCATTGACTCATAAATAGAAACTACCAAGCACTTGGTGCTAGGTGTTTTGTAGAACGAAGACTTTATGTACAAGTTTTTTGAAGCAGGGGTCTGTCTGCAAACTCCAAAGCCATGTGTTAAGGTGCTCCATTTACTTAAGGCCTGCACTTGTAGAAACTTAATGAGCCTACTCCCTCAGAGTGTCTGAGTTGGTGAAACACACAAATTACAATGTGAAACCGGGAGAACTTTGTCTTTTTCTACAGGGCTGAAAGGGCTCTGTTGCACTTTCAAGAAACACTCATTTAAAATACACATAACAACCACCAACCACTTGATGTTTTACTTCCCTTTGTATTTTCAGTGTTGTCAGTTTTGTTTGCTGTCTGTGTCACTTTATTACTTATTTTGACTGTTCTATGTGTGTGAAGTATTAATCAAATTAAGTGTTGACATCCCATAGAAACTGTATAAACCTGAGTGAATGCCTTTTACTCTCTTTTCCAGTATCAGAAAATACTGTATTAATATTTGCAAGGAGAGCATGACTATTTCTAGTTGACTCATAGATTTGTTTAGCATCTTAAAGCTGAGCTATGTGTGCAAATAATATGCATGCAAGAGGTAAAGTTTTGTGGACTGCAAAAGTCCGTAGCATGCTAGTGTTTTGGCAGATGTTTTAATTTTTGAGAGTAGCTTTCCCTGAAGATTTAGTGGTCTATGGGAGTAGGTTATTAAATTGGGCCTCTGGTGCATATTTTTTATGCTTTCACTTAATGGCTATATCTTTGTTTTATTTATGTAGCTGTTTTCAGTATGCCACATTTTGGTGTGTTTACTAACTTGAGTTGTTAGAATGGATGATAAAATGCATGTACTCCACTCCAAGGGATACTTAGTCAGCTCCTCTCCTAAGATAGCATGGGCTATAACTGAGGCTGGGTGGCACCATAGCAGTGGTGCCCCACATTGTGAGAAGACAATCAGTCACATACAGAGAGTCTACTGTCTTGTCTCTGTCCTATTTCAGTGTAATACAGCCATCAGCCCAAGCCCAGCTCCTATTGCCCTGGCTCTGATTCATTGTGTGACATGTATGATTGAAAAATTCTAGCTCTACCATGGGTTTGAGTGGGCAGGAAATAAGAGCAGATGGCTTAAAATATCTCCAGGCTTCCCCCTCTGAGTGAACACCAACAAAACAGAGGAGAGCTATCCAGATCTGAGACTCAAACTGCTAACTTGGTACTAAAATGCTGAAGCTGTCCATCTATTGCTTAGGTGCAGAAATAAAAATAAATGAATAAAATATTCAGAAGGATTTCATTCCTCAATCTTTCCCAGAGCTGAATCACACCCACTTTGATGACTGGCTAAGCAAATTGCTATGGAGCAATTTTAAGTGAGATCATTGATAGAGTAGATGTAATTTGGTTTGTGGATGGTTCAAGCTTTTACGAGGAAGGCAAGGCACTTACACGGTATGCAGCAGTAAGAATAGCCGATGAAAAGGTTTTTAAGGAACAGTGCGTAGCTCATTCAGCACAAGCTGCTGAAATTGTAGTGGTAGCATTGGAAAATATGCCAGCGGATGAAACGGTGGCTATTTTCACAGATTCTGAATGGGTTTTGAGAGCAATAGTGACTTGGATGCCTCAGTGGCAAAAGAGGGGCATGAAATCAGCAGATGGTAAATACATTGCTCATGCTGAAAAGTTGATATACTTGTGGGATTTATCACAACAAAGGACACAGCCACTATTTATGGGAAAAGTAAAAGCCCATGAGAAAAATGTTGAAGAAGCTCAGTGGAATAAGAAGGCAGATGAACAAGCTAAAGAAGGAGCCAAACAGGGGATAGTATGGCAGCCACAATCCCAATAGCTAAAAGAGAAGGAGAAAGAATAGAACAGAGAAAAAAGATCCTGAAATAAAAAATTGGCATCAAAAGAAAAACACCAAGGATGGAAAATTTGGCAACATGAAACAGGACTGGTGTTGGCTACCAAAACGGATGATGATATGTCTGTCTGGGTAGTTCCAAAAGCAATTAAAACTGAAATTATCTCACTGGTACATGATAATGGGCATATGGGAATATACAAGACCCTTGACAGACTACAAATGGCAGGTTGGTGTCCAAATATGAGGGCAGATGTAGAAAAGTATGTAAACAATTGCTTACCCTGTGCAGCAAATAATGCAGACACAAAAATAATGAAAGGACCTGTAGACGAGTGCTTCGTTGCTCATGGTACAAATTCGCTGGAGACCACTCTTTCACACACCAGTGCCCTTTTATTTCTCTGTATTTTCCCACGATCACATATATATAGCTATATACAGTTCAATATCAGTCAGGTAGCCCCTTAGGGAACAGCTTGCTCTTACAGCTAGCTGGGAGCAACAGGCCCTCACTCCTCACTTTCCTGTTTCCCCCCTCCTACTTCCTTCCTGCTAGCTTTATAGGCCTTCCTCTCAGCAGGCTCACGGGTGATTGCTCTCAGGCTCCTTTAATGAGCCACACCCTGCCAGCTCCAGTCAGTTCCCCTTTATGGGAGCTATGCTAGCAGGTTCTGAGCTAACAGGGGCTCGTTCAGTGCCTCTTAGGCCAGCACCCTGTTACATAGGGTTACCATCCGTCCGGGTTTCCCCGGACATGTCCGGCTTTTTCGGCTTTAAATGGCCCTCCGGGGGGGATTTCTAATCAAGTAGAAATGTCCGGGATTTCCCCCTTCCCCTCATGCAGAGTGTGGCGTGGCTGATTGGACGGCTGGGCCTGATTGAAAGCCGCTCGCAGCCACTAGGGCCTCTAGCAGCCAGAGTCCCTCCCCCTCCCCCACTCCCTCCTCCCTCGCAGAGCAGCGCGGCAGTGTTTGAGTCCACGTGGAGCCCGCAGCTCTCCCTCTGCTGGGTGAGCGGGGGAGGGGGGAGCAGGGCAGGGCAGGCGGGGGGTGTAGAGGCTGCAGGGCGAGGAGGAGCAGGGCAGGCAGGGGCATAGAGGCTGCAGGGGCAGGGCAGGCGGGGGGGTGCAGAGGCTGCAGGGCGAGGAGGAGCAGGGCAGGCAGGGGCATAGAGGCTGCAGGGGCAGGGGGGCACAGAGGCTGCAGGGGCTGCCGGGCGAGTGGGGAGCAGGGAAGCACTTAGCAACCCCCAATAAGATCAGAGCGGGAGGGAGGAGGGGGAATGCAGGGTGCTCAGAGGAGGGGGCAGAGTTGGGGCAGGGACTTTGGGGAAGGGGTTGGAATGGGGGTGGAGAAGGGGCGGGGTTGGGGCGGGGCCAGGGGTGGCGAAGGGGCGGGGCCAGGGGCGGGACTGGAACCCCGTGGAGTGTCCTCTTTTTTAAATGTTTGAATATGGTAACCCTACTGTTACAGGACCATTGAGACATCAAAGAATAGAGGGTCCATGGGTTAGGTTACAAATCAATTTTATTGGTCCATTGGCAAAAACTGCAAAGGGAAACCAACATTGTTTGTTGATAGCGGATCCTTTTACTAAGTGGGTAGAGGCAATCCCTACCAGAAATAATACTGCCTTAACCCCAGCTAGGGTTTTGGTGGATCAGGTTATTACAAAGTGGGGTATCCCCAAAGAAATAGATTCAGATCAGGGACCTCACTTTATAGGGGAAATTATAAAGGGATTGTGTCAAGCTTTTGGCATTAAGCAAAGACTGTATGTAGCTGGACATTCTCAAAGTTCAGGGCAAGTACATTTGAGCTCAAGCTTATCAATTTTAAACATCAATACAGAAGTTGATCTAATGCCATTTGCCTCACAAGAGTTTTGTGTGATAAATGTAGTGGGAGAACAAATTTTTATTCATTAAGTGTGCTGATATCAATTAAAATAGGCCAAAAATAAGTGAACGCTAGATTCGGTCTTACGCATAGAGGAGCGGCGGAATATGGAATGATAGGGATTGACGTGATAGAAGTACTGAATTGTTTTATTGACGTCAACAACCGGGTGTTATGGAGCACAATTTAATTTTCTCTATTTGTTTAACGTTATTATTATAGGAATGTTTAAGAAGAATTTTTTTTATCATATATGATAATTGTTAATGATAGGGAAATATTAAAGTAAGCTTAACTAAGGAAATAGACATAATAAATAAAGGAAAAAATAATAAATAAATATTGTTAGTATAGTTAAGATAAATAATAAAAGAAAGATGTTAGTATTGAGAAGAATGTAGCTATAATTTTATGCAAAGGAATTTTGTTTTACTGTTAAGTTTTTATATTGCAAAAATAAAAGATAAATTTGTTTGAAAAAGAATAGTGTCTCTCATTCTTTATATCTTTCAGAAGGGGAAGCCAAATGGTAGAAGATGCGGTTCTATTAATCTTGGCTCTTCTGGGTATTTGTGTCTATGGGATTCTGCTATAGTGATGTGAATTCGGACAAAACATCGATGATCCGATGGGCCAAGTCCCATCCCAATGATAAGGTTTTGGCTAATAGTATTGAGGAATGTGTTTTCATAATTCCAAAACTAAAGAATACAGCAATAAAAGTAGTAATGGGACCTGTTCGGTTTGTAGAGTTTATGGCACAAAATCATGTGGGTAGGGTACTCATCACAGATGTTGCTTCCAAATATAATATTTTATTCAGAGATCAAGGAAAGGGAGTATTGATGTCACAGCGATCTGATGAGAAATCACCACAACCTTCAAATTGTACGTGGAAATCTGATGAAGGAATGGAAACCATACTTGATAGATTAATAGGGTTGGACCATGGCAGTGTGCACTATTAGAATGATTAAAGATGATTGCACGCTAGCCGAATCTGTTAGTAAGTGCAGAAGAGAGGGTAGATTCAGGTATAGAGACCACAATCAAACCCCAGAAAATGGTTATGAAAAGAACAATGAAGGCAAACACAGACACAACAATGCAATGGCTCAAACCTAATACCACAACCACTGTCAACAGTATTCAAGTGTAAGTTCACAATTCAAAAGAATGATAGAGCTAAAGCAATAACCATTATCATGGGGCCTATAAAAGCTATAGAACAAAGTTTGGAAAACAGGAAGTTTATTACAACCTATTACAATGCTCATAAGTGCTCCATTACTTATGCCTCCCAAGGGCGAGGATATTTAATGACCCATCTGGATTATCATACCTCCCCAAAACCATCAGACTGTGATTGGGATGCTACAGATAAAAGGGGTGAAATATACAGGAAAGTGATAAGAGCATGGCAATGTGCACTAATAGAGGGACCTAATGTAATGACATGATCAGATAATTTGACCAGGTATCCAAATAAGAATTCTTCATGTACTGTCATAGCATGGTATGTCCCTGAGTGAAGTAAGGAGAGTTCAAGAACAATTCTCATACAATGGTATCATAATTTTGTTAATTTGACAGAAACCAATTTCAAATTATGGACCCGCAAGGAGGGGTCAGTAGAATATATATTCAGTGTGAATTATGTGTGAAATTGTATATAAAAATCAGATTAAATTACAGATACCATGGTATGCACATAGGATAGAAAGTGACACGTGAAGAAGTAAATTTGAGTCAAATTTCATTTCCATTATTGGTGGAAGGTACTGCAGATATAAATAAAAGGCACGGAAGTGGAACTTGGAGAATTAACAGTCCTCGTTTTAGTTATCCTTCTCTTTTACATGAATATCTAAACCTGGGTCAATGGGCTTTGTTGTAGAGCTGTTTTATGCTTATGCATTGGGTACTTGTATGTTACATTGTAGTTAGTCCAATGTTATTATATTAGAGGCCTTATGCATATGTATGAAAAGTTCAATGTGTACCAACTTGCAACATTGTATTTGTCTCATAGTCTGTTTAATCTTCTGAGTCAATTGAATGTGTGATCTTTAAAAATAATCCAGTCGTGCCTTATTACCTATGATACATTGTAATTATTTCCCTTTCCCTTCTTACTTTACTGAATATACTGTAATCACCTAATTTTCTCCCAATAAATAAGACCTTGTTTTCAAAGTATTACTGCTTGTGCGCCTATTCTTGATCAGAAGACTGTATCCGTGTCCTTTCAAGGGTTAGCAGGATTAGCCTGCTCTGGGGAGTCCTCTGCAGGTTGGAGAAAAAAACCCTGGCAATACCTTTAGGGTGGATCACCACTTTTCTCCACATTTGAACAGAATAATTATAAGCAGGCCAGTACTGGGGTAACACCACTGTGACACTGCACCCCATATTCTTCACAGTGATATTATTATGCTATTATATAATTATAAAGTATTTTATGCAAGGTAAGTCATGTGAGGTGTCATTGGAAAAGTTATGATTTTCTGAATATGATTATTCTATTTGTATGCATGTATCATTTTTGTATTTGAAGTTATGAATGTTGACTATGTATCTGTATTTCAAATATAGTTACACCTGGGTAACGCCCACTAGACAAGATGATTTCAGTCTAGATGGTGAGTGAGGAAGGGCCTATTCAGGGCAATGGGCCATTAGGAAAAAACAATAGGCCTTAGGAAAGGCACCTGGGGAGCCTTCCTGAGAATGCTACAGACAGCCTCTGAGTAATGACTGCTATGACTCTACAAGGAAATGTAATGAGACCACACATCTCTAGACTCCATCTTGGGATGTCAGTATTTTCCACAGACTGGTCTGGGAACTAAGCTTTGGGAACAAAGGGTTCCCACCATATGCAAAAGCTGTATAAGACAGGGAGTGACATCATCTGGTGTTCTTCACTCCCCACCCAAGAAGACTCCTAGAAACACCTGAGGAACAAAGACTGAACTGGGGGAAGTGCTGGACCCAGGCTAAAGGGATTTCTAGCCTGTGAGTGAAACACCTGGGGATTCCAAGCTGTAAAGCAAGTGCAGCTTGCCCCTTAAGAATCTG